AGGTTCACCAATTAGATAAAATACGACTGACCCTGGCCAGGTGGAGGAGAGTTGTACAAGCTAAGTGAAAATAACTTTCTAATTGTTGCTGGAAACTGTTACTATGACGACTAAGCACATCACCCCACCAATAAAGTTGTCTTATTCATTTCAAAAAATTGTTTGGGTTGGGAGCTTTATTAGGCTTTCCTTCTTTTTATATTTTCATTGAGTAGTTTAGATGTTTTGTTCTGATCAGAGAAGTCCCCCAAATGAATATTTAACACTTCTGGAAACAGGCCTGGAAAATAGGCCTTTGAAAGAAAAGAGCACTTTTCTTTATTTGTATGTAGTTATAAAGGGAAACTTTCTCAGTGAAAACTTGTAAAATACAAAAAATTATTCTGTGTTTTTTGCTTTTTATTTTATTTATTTAATCCTCACCCAAGGACACTTTTGCATTTATCTTCATATAGAGGGGAGAGAGAGAGAAACATCAATGTGAGAGAGACACATCAACTGGTTGCCACCAACACGACCCCAACCAGGGTCAGGGACAAACTGCAACCAAGGTACATGCCCTCAGTGGGAACCAAACCCGGGACTCTCTGGTCTGCGGGTCGACACTCTTAATTGCTGAGCCAAACTGGCCAGGGCTTATTCTTTGTTTTTTTATAAGTCACTCTTTTTTTTTTTTTATCCTCACCTGAGGATATTTTTCCATTTTTTGTACAGATAGAGTGGGAGGGAGAGAGAGGATGGGAGAGAGAGAGAGAAACATCGACATGAAGGGACACATCGAGTGGCTGCCACCCGCACGACCAACCAGGGCCGGGGACAAACTGCAACCGAAGTACGTGCCCTTAGCGGGAACCGAACCCGGGTCTCTCTGGACCGCAGGCCGACGCTTTAACCATTGAGCCAAACTGGCCAGGGCTTATAAGTCACTCTTAAACACACCACCAAGAGATGGCTACTGTTAACATTTTTTTTTTTTCTCTTCAGAGAATGCTCCATAAGGGTATGAACTACATCAATTTTAATTCATCTCTGTATCCCTACTACCTAGCACAGTGCCTGGCACAGTCAGCACCTAATTAATATTCATTGAATGAATAAATATATTAATATTTTTTACTAGTTGTTTTTTTTTTTAATCCTCATCAGAAGACATTTTTGCATTTATCTTCAGATAGAACGGGAGGGATAGAGAGAGAGAGAAACATCGATGTGAGAGAGACACATCGAGTGGCTGCCACCCACACAACCCCAACCGGGGCCAGGGACAAACTGCAATCGAGGTACGTGCCCTTAGCAGGAACCGAACCCAGGCCTCTCTGGTCCGCTGGCCAATGCTCTAACTGCTGAGCCAAACCGGCCAGGGCTCTACTAGTTTTTTAATGTGTACATTTGCTTGTTTGTTAACAAAATGGGATCCTTACTGTACATGGTTATATTCTAGCTTTTTCACTTTTCATTATTGAGGACTTTCTCCTATCAAATATTCTAATCTAAAATATAGTTTTTCATAAGGCATAATGTTCCATTCAATATCACACTTTATTCAACCATTTTCCTATGCAAATTAAATAATATACCATTGACTCTTGCTCAACATAGGTTTGAATTGCATGGGTCCACTTATATGCAGATTTTTTTTTCAATAAATATTGTAAATGTATTTTCAACTTTTCTCTAGCTTAGTTTAGTGTAAGAATACAGTATATATAATACATATAACACAAAATATGTGCTGATCGACTGTTTATGTCAACAATAGGCTATTAGTAGTTAAATTTTTGGAGAGTCAAAAGTTATACATGAATTTTCGACTGCATGGGGTCGGTGCGTTTTTTCTTGCATTGTTCAAGAGTGAGCTGTAGTGTGTACTATTTTATGTCTTGCTTTTTTGTGCACCATAATATTTTTTGTTTGTTTGTTTGTCACCCAAGGATATTTTCCATTGAGTTTTTTTAGAGAGAATGGAAGGGAGGCAGAAAGAGAGAAACATGGATGTGAGAAAGACATCTATTGGGTGCCTGCTGCATGCATCCCCACTGGGACAATGGAACCTGCAACCCAAGTACGTGCCCTTGATGGGGAATCTAACCCAAGACCCTTCAATATGCGGGTGGAGGCTCTAACAACTGAGCCACACAAGCCAGGGCAAATAATCCATGTGTCATATTGGATTGCAATGTTTTTCTTAAACATTTTTTTCTTTAATTTTTTGGAGAGAGAGGAAGGGAGAGAGAGAGAGAGATAGAAACATCACTGAGAGAGAACATGGATTGGCCGCCTTCTGCATGCCCCCCACTGGGGATTGGGCCCACAACCTGGGCATGTGTCCTGACTGGGAATCGAACCAGCAACCTCTTGGTGCATGGGTCGATGCTCAACTACTGACCACACCAGCTGGGCTAAACTTTTTGTTTTTAGCTATCCTGTTTATGTTCTTCCAGATAAAATTTAGCCTCTACTGTGCTACAGGGACTACTTTATTTTTTATCTTTAGAGATTTGCTGCATGATAGCAGTGTAAAGCTCTGATTACTTTTTTTTTTTAACTTAAAATATGTTTTGATTTTTTTAGAGAGAGAGAAACATCGATCTGTCGCCTCCTGCATGCCCCTCACTGGGGATCGAGCCCACAACCTGGGCATGTGCCCTGAATGGGAATTGAACTGGGACCTCTCAGTCCATAGGCCGAAGCTCTATCCTCTTGACCACACGGGCCACCGGCCAGGATACCTGTTATCTGTTTTTTTTAATATATATATTTTATTTTGTTGTTGTTGTTAATCCTCACTGGAAGATATTTTTCTATTGATTTTTAGAGGGGGTGAGAAAGAAAGAGATTGAGAGAGATTGGTTGTCTCCCCAACCGGGCCAGGGATGATCCTGCAAACTAGGAACCTGCAGCCCAGGTACATACCCTTGACTGGAATCAAACCTGCGACCCTTCAGTCTACGCTCTAACCACTGAGCCAAACCAGCCAGGGCCTGATTACTTCTTAAAGGAAGAACTTCCTCAGGATATCTAAAAATTCTCTTGGGTGGAGCTTGAAGTCAACACCCTATAAAACAGAACCAAATTCTATTCAGCTCCTAAAGTGCTCCTGCTTTGCTAGGGTTGCTATGAAGGGCCTTAGGTCAAAACTCCAAGGCATAATTCAGGGTCTGATTCCAGTATATATCTCCATAATACATAAATCTACATTAATGCAGATTTGGGCTTAATCCCTATAATCTTTTAGCTAGGAGCTATCCAAAAGAATTTTCTGCTATGATGGAAATGTCCCATTTTACCATGTCCACTAGCCACATGTAATTATTAAGGTGCTGAATATTAAATTTTTTATTTTTATTTAATTTAAATGAGCATAACCACCTGGCTGGTTTGGCTTGGCGGTGAGAGCATCAACCTGTGGACCAGAGAGTCCCAGGTTCAGTATGTACCTCCGTTGCAGTTTGTCCCTGGCCCCGGCTGGGGGTCATGCGGGTGGCAGCCAGTCCATGTGTCTCTCTCACATGGATGTTTCTCTCTCCCTCTTCCCTCCTCTCTCCCTCCCGCTCTATCTGAAGATAAATGCAGAAATGTCCTCCGGTGAGGATAAAAAAAATTGAAATGAACATAACCACATATGACTTCTTATTGTCCAACAAAGGCACCGTTTAGGCTGTTTTGCCCGTAATTTGCATATACATCCTTGGATCTGTTTCAATATTTCATTATCATTGCTAAAATCAAAACACATTTGACTTTGTCAGGCACTATACTCGTTAAGGGAGGATAGTCGAGTCAGCCAGCTTCCATTCTAGGTTTACAACTTAAGGAAAGAGAAGGCCAGTTTTTAGCCTACAGACGAGAGAGATTAAGGTTCTGCAGAGAGACTTGCCCCTCCAGAGCCACGTAAGCGTGAGCGGCGGAGGCCGACTGTGCTTCTAGGTGACGGACGGGCTGCGGCCGTCAGTCCTTCCACACGGCGGTCTCGCCCAGGGGCCCCCTCCTGGAAGTGGAAAGAGAGGAGGCCCAGGGCCAAGGCGAAGGTCTTATGCACCCAGTAGGGAACCTGACCCCCTCCCCCCGCAACTGGATTGCAACTAGGATGAACGCGACGGTCTTTCTCACTATACTATCTGCCCTCCACAATGTGAAAAGTTAAGTCAGGGGTTCCAATGAGTCTGGTGAAGGGGGAAGGATCAACTGTGGGGAAGAGCAGGGGACAAATCGAAACGACTCCTACAGAGTGGGCAGAAGACCCAGAGGAAAGGGCAGGAGGCCTCCCGTGAGGAAGGAGTAGGAGAAGGGGAGGCAAGGTGACTCGAGGGAAGCAGGAGGCTCGCGGTCCACGTTCGCTCCAGCCGGGTCACAAGATGGCCGCTGCGAGGCTGGGCTTTTCCGTGCAGGATCTCGGGGCTGGGGTTTACAGGCCGGGGCAGCCGCCGGCAGCGAAGGGGTCAGCCGCAGGGAACGCAGGCTGAGCAGAGGGGAAAACCCGCTGTTGGAAGGAGGAGAGGAAGGAAGCGCGCGTGCGCGGGGCGCGGTCCAGCGGGCCTAGCGGAAAGGCCAAGCCGTGGTCGCGAGAGCCCGGAGCCTGAGGTCAGGGGCAGCCCCGCCCTAGCGATAGCGGGGCGGAGCACTAGGCCTCGGCGCGGCGGCGGCGGCGGCGGCGGCGGCGGCGGCGGCGGCGCGCAGGCCGCCGGGAAGTTGGGAGAGCGACGTGCGGGGGCGCGCGCGCGCGCACACACGGGCCGGGCTGCGAGCCGCCGGGGCGGTCCTCATTGCTTCGCTAACCCGCGGTTGGCAGCGCTCGCGACTCGGCTCCAATATAAAGAGCGGCCAGTTTGTCGGCGTCCTGTCTGCGTGGTTCGAGGCCAGCTTGCCGCGGCTGCTTCGTTCTGGTGCCAGGGCCTCCCTGAAGAGCCTGGGCCGGGGCGCGGCGGGTGACTGGCCCCAGGAGGCGAGGCCGCCGGGGACGCAGGCGGAGGCGCACTCTGGCGGTCTCCAGGAGCTGGGAGGAGGCCGAGGAGACCATGTCCGGGAGGAACCTCCACTTCTCCACCACCGAACGCGCCATCAAAGGTGCCGAGAGGGCTGGGCCTTCCTCGTCGACCCGCGGGGAAAGGGCCCTCCGCCCGGCGACGGTTCGGGGACGGAGGGAGGGAGCCGAGGAGGGAAAGCGGGAGGGCGGCGGGGGACCCAGGCTGCGCCCAACCGGAGGATGATCTGGAGGGGGTGTGGGAGCGGGGAGGGCGGGATCCCCACGGAGGCAGCCCCGCCGGGGCCGTGGGTGTTTTCTGTTGCACCAAGAAGCGTAGCTAGCAGGGTTTCCAGGTATGGTGGGGGTTTCTTCTCCTGTCAACCCAAAAGGGCCTGGATCCCATCTTTTTAAAAAGAAACCCTTCTCCCTTTTTAGTCTTATCTGGGGAAGCCGGCTGGGGTGAGTGGGGAGGGGGTTTAGTAGATTGTTCCAAGTGAGATCTTTCTGCTGCTCCCCTTCTTTAGGATCAGATCAGCTCGCCCCTCCCTTTTAGGAGATGTACCATGTACCTTTTGGCCCTCCAGATCATCACAGGTCACTGCTGTTGTTAAAAGAACAGTATGGCGCCCTGGCCCATGTATGCAGTGGTTAGAGCATCGGCTCACGCGCCCAAGAGTCGCGGGTTCGATTCCCGGTCAAGGGCGAGTACCTGGGTTGTAGATTGGAACCCAGCCCCAGTTGGGGTGTGAGCGGGAGGCAACCAATGGATGTGTCTCTCCCAGGGATGTTTCTCTCTCCCCCTCCCTCCTCCTTTCCACTCTCTAAAAATCAATGAAAAAGATATCCTCGGTGAGGGTTAAAAAAAAGAAACAATGTGGTGAAGAAACAGTATGGTGAAATAAATACAAATAAACCCATTTTATGGTGTTTGAAAGTGATTTACAGATCTCTTGATATGATATTGGTGTTTTATTTTGCTTTCGACCATAAGTACTGGAGAATGATGTTCTGATTCAGATGTCCAACATAAACTAAAGTGTACCTTACTCATACTTGTAGGGTTGTACATTGTAGTTGTTTTTTTCTTTACTGAAACAACTAAGTATACCGGTTTAAACATACCTACTAATTTATGTGCTTCTTTTGTTCAACCATAAGACTTGAGTACAACTCATCTCTCTGAGTTTTAACAATCCCTTTGAAAATACTATTTTGTAAGAAGGGTGTATACCTAGACAAGCTGTGTCAGTGGCTTCTGGATGAAGGGGGTAACTGTAAGTGGGGAAAACTAAAAATACTTTTACTTTTTCATTTTGATTATTGGAAGGAGAAAGCAAACCAAGATTAGAGATACTACATTTTAAAAATTGGGAAAATCTATGGAATAGTCAATGAAGGAGAGGATTTTAGTGTTGAACTAGCTATTTTCCCTCTAAAAACATCAAGCATCATAAATGTTGATTGTCTACACAATGTAATTTTCCCTCCCTAAAAGGTCAGCATCATAAATGTTGATCACAAATGTTCATTATCTACATTATATAATATTTAGTAAATACAGTGGGATTTATCTAGTGTCATTAGGGATTTAAGTGAATTGTTCATATAACTGACAGCCCGTAGCTGCTAAATTATTTTGGAAATTTTGATGTCAGTTTTTATAATATATAACCCATAAAGGGTCTATAACTGTCTCTTAAAATCAGAATATACCAAACATAACCTTTTTTGAAAAATCAAGGTCATCATTATATACATTAATTTCTGCCCTGTGCATTCTGCTGCATAAGGGTGTAGGCAGTTTCCTCCTATACTAAAATGACTCCTCACTGCTATACCAGAATAGTGCTTTTGTCTGTAGTTTATGTCCTCCAGTACTGTTCTCTGTCAAAATATGCTCTTCTAATCTGCCACTTCTAAACTGAAGTAGGCAGGAAACCAGATAAATCAGAATTGTGTATCAAGAATAAATGGGATGTGAGTCAAGCTTAGTGGCAGTCCTCAGACTTTCATGAATCTGAAATTCTGATCGCTACTGTAGCATGTAATTTCCACTATAATATGCCATAAGTCTTAAAGGAAAATTTTAAATGAACCGTTCAGACCCTGGCATATAGAAGTAAAACCAAATGCTGTTAAAATGCAGGTGCTAGCTTATTGCTAGGCATGCTTACAGTTACGTGAACACCCTCATAGTCTGTATGTGTCAAATTTGTTTTTTGGTGAAATTATAAATTACTACATGTTGTATAGTTTATAAGATTACTCTTAAATAAACAAATTATTTCAGGCACTCAGAATTTAACTTGTGTATAAAAAATTTAGCATAAGAACTCGACCATAGCAATTTTGGTTTCTTGCTGACTTGTGTTGCTTTTTTCTGGGTTTTCCAGAGTTTGAAATACTTTAAGTTTGTTCTAAGAGGAGTCAGTTCATATATAGGTCCATTGTATTAAATAGGAATCTAAATCCTGATCTAACGTTATCTTGTCTGGCCAGAGTTGTCTGCATTTATTCGAAGCTGGAAATCTTTTTCTGAGGTGAGACCACATCCTAGTTGTTTTTGGTTCTGTCATTTCCTGTTAACTTAAAGTCTACTTAATTGTTTTATTTGAGCAAATCTTAGAGAAGAGTGGGTGGGTGGGTGTGATTTGTATTGTGTTCTTTAAACAGCAACTTTCCTAAAGTGAAAGGATTAGACTGGTGGTCAGAAAACCTAGGTTTTTACTGCTGCTTCTGGAGTTTATGTGTGACCTTGCCTGTTTTTAGTTCGTTTGGTTTTTAACCTTGCCTTTTTAGTTAAACTCTCTTTGCTTCGATAATCTATCTGCAAAATAGGGTTAATAATACTTTCTTTGTCAGGCGCTGAGCCATGTGAAAAGCTTAAGAAAAGGTAGTATTACGAAACATGATAGTTTGATACTAGATCACTTACTACATAAGTGGTTAGTAGAGAAATTACCAACATTTGAAAAATATTATAACTAGAACATATATAAATTAGAAAACTGTTCCCAGTCCAGGAAATACCTCTTCTACAAAATATAGGATATCTGGGTAGAATTCTACGGGTAACAATGTGAATTGGCCAATACTGTTTTGTCCAGTGCTTCCTTGACAGCCGGTTTCTTCTCTAGCAATTGAAGATATATTTTATGTTTAAAAATATAACAATTCACCCTGGCCGGTTTGGCTCAGCGGTTAGAATGTTGGCCCGCGGACCAGAGAGACCCAGGTTCGGTTCCAGCTAAGGTGCACGTACTTCGGTTGCAGTTTGTCCCCACCTTGGTTGGGGTTGTGTGGGTGGCAACCAGTTGATGTGGCTCTCTCACATCCATGTTTCTCTCTCTCTCTTCCTCCCTCCCTCCTGCTCTATCTGAGGATAAATGCAAAAAAATGTCCTCGGGTGAGGATAAAAAAAAAAAGAAAAATATATATATAACAATTCTTATGATTTCACTCATTCATTAAATGTTTATAGAGAGCCATCTGCAATGTATGCCAATAGGTAGGTGCTCATTTGTTTGTTCTTTATTGATTTTTAGAGAGAGAGAGTGAGGGAGAGGGAGAGGGAGGGAGGGGGGGAGAGAGAGAGAGAGAGAGAGAGAAAGAGAAACATTGATGAGAGAGAACATCCACTGGCCACCTCCTATATGCCCCCCACTGGGGGGACTTGGCCCACAACATGGGCAACGTCTTTATGCATGGGTTGACACCTCTGAGCCACACCAGCCAGGCTCTTCTTTGTTTTAAAAGTAACATTTCTGTGAACCCCTATAACAGTCCATATACACTAAAGTATCACTATTCGTATCTGGAGCAGAAAACTAGAAACTTAAATAATTAAACTATGGAAATCTTTCAATTTGATCTTTTTTCTTCTTTTCTGGTTTCCAAGTTTCTTTTCCTGTGTGAAGGAATTTATTTTCTTTGACAGTGATGTTTTTTTTTGTTTTGTTTTTTTTTTTTTTTAAATCCTCACCCGAGGACATTTTTCCATTTTTTTGTTCAGATAGAGTGGGAGGGAGAGAGAGGAAGAGAGAGAGAGAAACATCGATGTGAAAGGGACACATCGAGTGGCTGCCACCCGCATGACCCAACCAGGGCCAGGGACAAACTGCAACCGAGGTACATGCCCTCAGCGGGAACCGAACCCAGGTCTCTCTGGACCGCAGGCCAACGCTCTAACTGCTGAGCCAAACTGGCCAGGGCGACAGTGATGTTTTTATGAAAACAGTGTATTACTCTGTGCTGAATTTTTTTAGGAGCAACAAGGAAATTTCACTAGGAATTACATGACAGATATGAAGAACCCATTGTCTATGTTTGTTATTTGGTGGTCAAATGGGGTTTAACAGAAAGTCAGACTTCTTTTCAGTAAGATGCTGATAACAGTTTTCTTATTCTCTTGGAATTCAAATATATTGTATATTCACAGAATGTAGTGTCATTTGTAGCACTGAGAGGTCCTGGTTTGATTCCCAGTCAGGGCACATGCCTGGGTGGTAAGCTCTGCCCCCAGTAGGGGGCGTGCAAGAGGCAGCCAATCAATGTTTCTTGCTCACATCAGTGTTTCTATCTCCCTAAAAAAATCAGTAAAAACATAGTTAAAAAAAAAAGAATAGGAAGTATGGACAAAAAGTGCTATTACCACAAGTATACCTTGAACCCCACCCATTTCTGTCTCTGGTACCTATACCTCATTTATTTCCACAGCTCTTATCCCCTCAACCTGTCTTGGATTTACCAAGGTTTAAAAGCATCTTTTTTCTTTTGAATATAAGCTTAATCCTGCAAATTAAAAATTTGGAAAGGTAGAAAGGGAAGAAAACAAAGTTATATTTCTTCCTTCCAGAAACAATTGTTTTTGTTTTTTTTAATCCTCACCCAAGGATATTTTTCCATTTATCTTCTGATAGAGTGAGAGGTGGGGAGAGAAAGAGAGAGAAACATGAATGTGAGAGAGACACATTGATTGGTGGCCTCTCACATGACCCCGACCAGGGCCAAGAGGTCTAACCTGTAACCCAGCTACGTGCCCTTGACCGGAATTGAACCTGAGACCCTTACATGCATGGGCGAGGCTCTCTCCAGTGAGCCA